TACAATAATACTGTTCTGGCTTACATACAAATTTGACTTAAGGAGAGACCTTGAGAACGAGACTTCCTAAACTGGAGACTACTGGTATAGGCAACTACAACTACTGAACTTCTTCAAAAAAGTTAATCAAAGATCATGGAGATCTAATACAGTCTTCAAGAGCAGAAAAAAATATCATACAAATTTCTTACCATAAAATTTCCATAGTCAAGTTGATGCCTTTGATTTAAGTGGCCAACTAAATCTCTAGTAACCTGGTTAGGATCTCCCCATGGAAGAGTGACACAAACAGGACAGACCTAAAAAATGAGAAAGAGTCAGAAGCACCTTATACATAAAATCCTGATTTTCTCTTTATTTGCCATTAAAAATTAAATAGTTTTTCAAAGAATAACAAACAGTAGATTGATACTACTTTATATGATCTCAGGCTGTATAGAAACTAGCTGCAGGGCGGGAGAGAACTCTCCCTAGGTGCCTCCTGTGTGGGGTGCCACAGCGTCACAGTATTCTACTCTCTCTCCCCACTCTTTTCAACATTTACATGAAACCACTGGGTGAGGTCATCTGCTGGTTTGGGGTTCAGTATTATCAGTATGCTAATGATGCCCAATTATTTCTTTCTACCTTGGGCCAGCCAAGCGGGGCTGTCAAGGTTCTGTCCCAGTGCCTGGAGGCTGTGCAGGTTTGGATGGGGAGGAACTGCCTCTGACTGAATTCTACTAAGACTGAATGGCTGTGGGTGTTTGGGCCACCCAGATCTGGAGATATTCCATCTCTGACCTTGGATGGGGTAGCTCTTCCCCCTTCAAGGTTGGTATGCAATCTGGGGGTCTTCCTGGACTTGCAGCTCCTGCTTCAAGAGCAGATGTCAGCTGTAGCCAGGAAGGCCTTTGCACAATTCCATCTGCTGTGCCGGTTGCACCCTTTCCTTGATCGGGGGGCCCTTCAGACAGTCATTCATGCCCTAGTCACCTTGCAGTTTGCCCACTAAAATTTGCTGTACATGGAGCTGCCCTTGAAGACCACCTGGAAGTTTCAACTAGCCCAGAATGCGGCGGTGCGAGCAGCGATGGGCATGCCTGAGTATGCCCATGTAACACCTCTGCTTCACGAGCTGCACTGGTGGCCCCTTTGCTTCCAGGTATGGTTTAAGGTGCTGGTTGTTACCTATAAAGTCCTACATAGCATAGGGCCTAGTTACTTGAGGGTCCGCCTGTCTCCCATAGCATCTGCCTGGCCAATTTGATTCTACAGGGTTGGCATGCTCTGGGTTCCTTCAATTAAACAATGTTGCTGATAGTTGGGCAGCATAGAAATTTAATAAATTATTGTTGGTCGCACAGTCAGCTAGATGTTTAGACTGTATTTGGCATTTTTATCCACTTATCAAGTCCTTCCCAAGGACTTGGGATAGGCAGATGTTGTTTGATGGTGTTAAAGATATTGTTGCAGGACGTAAAGCTGTTCCAAGTAAAGCTCTCTTTTGCAATTGACTGATGGTGATTTTGTCAATGCCAACGGTTGTTGTTGTTGTTATTATAATATTTGGTATTTGATTCTAACAAATAGACAGTAACAGAAGGAATATGAACAGAAGACACATCTCTGTATTTTAAAAGTACATCTAGTATTTCCATTTTTAAAAGAGAAAATACTAGTCATGCTCTACCCATAAGGTTAAGGAGCCTTTTAGAATGTGGGTAAAGGTGATTTTTTTCTTTAAAAAAGCAACTAATCTCCACCAGTACCAGTACCAAGCCATCTTTGGTTGAGCTTGAAAAAGCTAAGCAGAATCTGACCCAGTTAGCAATTGGATGAAAAAGCACCAGGAAATCCCAGGGATATAGGCCTGGGAAGAAGGTAACACCAAACTACTGAATTTCTGAACTGTTGCCAGGAAAATAACACAAATGTGTCCATGTAGTCAGCTTGGGTAAGCTTGAGTAGACATTTTTTAAAAACCTAATCACTCCCACCCAGTTCTGCAATGTCAATATAAAGCTTGGTATAATCTTGCCAAATCTATATATTTTAGGTGCTCAGGTATGTCCACTGAATTAAATGCAACTTCTGTGTGCTTTTCAAGGAATGAACTGTTCCAAATTTGAGAAAAAATAAAGTGAAAATACTATTATTATTGAAAATGGAAAAGTTCTGTCAAAGTAAAAAGAGGTAAAAAGTTCTAAAATTACAGTTTAAATATTTGAAAAAAAAGTGGCAAAGAAGAAAGAATGATCTATAGTCTACAGGGGGAAGGGGATATTTAACTGGGTCAGAATGAATCTCGAGGAGAAATAGGGCACTTCATTCTCTCTTATTTAACATGTCTTGGAATTTACATAATTTCAGAAAGGAACTTACTATTGTATGTATTCTTCGGAGGGTAAAGTTTTTTTTTTAAATTTTTACACCACACATACTTAAACTTTGGAATTCACTACCATGATATGTAGTGCTATCTACCAGCTTAGTTGGCTTCAAAAAAGGGTTGCACCAATACATGGAAGTCTTGGGATCAATGGCTAATAACCTTGATGGCAGTGTGACTGCCTCTGAAGGCCATTAGCTGGGAAACTAGTGCAATTCTTTGTGCAGTTAGTTGGCCACTGTGAGAACAGATGACTGGACTTCATGGGCCAGTGATATGATCCAGCAGTGCACTGCTTACGTACTTATGGCACTTTATTAGTAATAACAAAAATAACATAAGTAATTAAAACTTGTATCCTTAAATATTAACTCTTTGTTATACCATTTGAGTTAATGTGCCACAAGACTTTTTATTATTTTACATACAAGTTTTTACACATGTACTCACTACTGGATCTACTTGATAAAGATGCCTGTCATTACAATGATCCAATAGAGTCTGCCTTGTGAAGTTACTTTCTTGACACAGAGGGCATTTGAATGTAGGCTGCTCACTGAAATACAAACAACAACAGAGTCACAAAAATAAAAAATAGAGAAGCAGCATGCAATATGTATAAGGAATTCAATGGATGAAAAACAAATTCACAGGAGCATCTGCTGTTTGCAACAAGGGACCAATTAGGTGTACTTTTGCAATACTGACAACAGTCAGCTGTAGTGATTGACAGAGACAGCACCTCTGACTGGTAGCAGAGATTAGAGTATCCCTCTCTTGCTTCTTGTAGTTACAGGAAATTGATAGAGGGCTGTTGTTTTTTTTCAGGGTGGGGTGCACAAAGGCTTGCTGGCAATTTATTCTTCTACCAATGACTAGGGCCACTGCTGTTTCCCTTACCATGGAGTACTTCCAGGGAGGAAGAATGTGCTCTTCCTAGGGGAAGGAAGGTGCAACTTTCCCATTATCCTGGCTCCCATGATCAGTGATCTAGAATAATTGTATTATTACCAAAAATAGCTTTTAATTTGGCACCTATTGCAATAACTATTTGTTTACTAGTTCATACAGTACTTTAAAAATTAGCTCTTCACAAAAATGTGTTCTGAATTTCATATCATTTTGGTATATATTTCTGTTGAGTAACTGTCCACCCTCTTTCTAGTCATAGAACCCAATAGTTATTAATATCCAGGGTTATTTCTACCTTGCAGGTTCTTCAGGAACATGTAGATTAGAATTTTCTCCCACTTCCGAAGTAGAAGAATCACTCCTAAAACTGAGTGAGAATTTATTTTAAAGAAAATTTAAAATCCTGAACATTATGATTAATAGATAAATCCCTGTAACTCTGGTTGATAAGTGGTGTCTCTAAATTTGATAAACAAAATTCATTTGAATAAAGTATGTGGACAATATTACTTCTATCAGGGTTACCTGGAGGATAGTCTAATCTATATAATTTCTTTGACTGTACTCATAGACACACACACACACACACACACACACACACACAAGCTTAA